GCCAGCCCCTCTTCTCGCACTGCAGAATCAGACGAGCACTGTCGAGCTTTCATCCATCACGTTCCCAGATAATTATAGGAGAGTAGGAAGGAGTATGAAGATTCTTGACGTCTTTTTGAGACCATTTTGAAATAGGTTTGAGTGAGGTACTTTTCAATATGTGACTAAGTAAAGGCTGCCTTGATACTCATGAGTCATTCATTAATTCAGTCATTTTATTATTTAGTTGTTGCAAGCTTGATTTAAAAGGGATGTTATCAGATAAATCAAAATGGACATACAGAATTGAATCAATCCTGAGCAGCCACATATTTATGAGGATAACATATTCTGTGCAGTAAAATTATCAGTGGAACACTTTTCTTGGAATGGATTAAATATCTACACAATACTGCACAATTAAAGTTATGTGTTTTGCGATGCCTCCACCAACCAGTGCAGTTTCAGTCCCTTCATGAGGTCACCGTGACCTTTGACCCCTGGAATCTAATCAGTGCATCATTGAATACAACTGAAAACTGGTCCAAATCTAATCAGTTCATCCTTTGAATGTTTTCACCAAATTTATAAAAATTCCCTCAAGACTATCTTGAGACATGTTACTTGTGGATTTGGCCCTACTTCTCTTTGCCTTTTTCATATTTCCCCATACAGACCATTTCATATTCCTCCCCTGCTCCCTTTGAAAGGTGGCTGGGGTTTCCTCTTTATTTCATACCCACAGCTCATTCAGGCCATTGCAGGAGACAGTGGTCATGGTTTGGCTCAGAATGAGAAGCTAGACATGTATGTGGATATAAGAGAAAGGGAAAAAATCTTAAACTTGATCCAGTGGTCCACCAACTCGACAGTATCATGCACAGAGGATGTTCTGTTACAAATCATCTCATGATGGAAGTTTGACATAGGTTTGCCCAGCGTTAAGCAGCAGAAGATGTGAGGCTTACCATCAATGTGATGTGTGTCATTTTCAATAAGTAGATATAGAGCTTCTGCTTTGTGGCAGCTCCTTTTACAAAGACACATTTGATATTTCTTGACGTCACTTACAGTGGGACTAATCTGCATAGAAGTTTTCGAGGGAAACCTATTGAAATACTATCGGACACACATGGAAATCCAAAATGTAACATTGTTCTCAGAAATTTGTCAAAGAAATTGTTTCGGAAATAGGCACATTTGCCGATATGCCTTTGGAAAGCCAAATATGAATCTAATTTCTGCTAAAGGTGGTTGGCTTAGGTTCGCACCAGGCTAGCTGAAGCTCCATTATTAAGAGGTTATAGCTTGTTTGTTCAACTCTCACAACAACTCTAGCTTTTGCAACAGGGGACTGGACTATTTCTTGGCTTGGTGTTGTCGCTGCCTTGAGTCCTCCCTGGTTATCTGGCAAACTCATGAAGAAGTCAAGACTCTATTCTAAAGCTGAGTTTATGCTCGCCATTCCTGTCCTCACACGCAGTGACTCGTGCCAGAAATGACACCATTTCCGCTGGCATGCTCCAGCATCCCAGCTTTATCTTGGTGCATGCTGTGCAACATGGACCGTGCTGGAGGCAAGAGTCTGCAAAAAGGTCTGTTTCTACAGAAATCTCAATTTCCCCAATTATCTCATTAATAAGGGAGCATAGAGATTCCCAGATGGCTCCTGGAGGGAGATTGCACAGACTGTAGGTAAGATGAGACATTTTTCAGGAAAAACCTCTCCAACTGCTTGTCAAAGTAAAGAAACAGGACAAGCTGGGACCGAAACCGTTCTGTTTGTGCTTCTTCTTTGTTTCTTTGCCTTTTTTAGCTGCGACACCTATCCTTCAGGGGAAGACTTAACACAACCTAGCTACTGCTGGTAGCTTCTTAGTATTTGCAAAAAAAATAAGGCGAATAAGTTTATTTCTAAAAACAACATTATAGTGTTCTTTTTACATATATGTGGCCACTTAAGGCCCCAGTGTTATATTAATATAAAGACAGCACTAGGGGGTTAATCATGTTCAACAAACTAATGCAATGTGAGCAGGTCTGATCAAATAGAAGCAGCCCGATGAGCCATGTGTAGCACCTGCTGGAGGGCTGCTTTTGAAAAAGAGCCAAAGCAGAAGCAGTAAAAAAGAGAATGATGTGAAAAGCATACACAGGTGCTGATTAGAAACCTTCCTTGGGGCAGAACAAAGCCACAAAGCTGCGAACAGATACCTGCTGCAGTACAGTTCAGCTCTTTGAAATGGTCTTTGCAGGAGCGCTGTTTAATACTCTCTATAAAAGACTCTCACTGTACTTGCTTAAACCTTTCGGAAAAGCCCCTGTGGATGCTGTCTGTCCAAGTGATGTGCAAATGATGGGCCGTATAATGAGCAGGTGCAGACTGTGCAGTGAAATCATTTCCACATGCTTTACAAGCAGGTAGACGAGTGAACTGAACAAGATTATGAAGACATGTAAAAGCAGCATTTCACTCATAGTGAAGTTAATCAGTACATGCTGTCTTTTATTTGACTGAAACAGTTTTAACATGTGCAATTATTATTACAAGATACAGTTTTAAAGTACATTTGTTAAATATATCAAGCTTCGATGCTTCATACAGTGGCACCATAGACTGTATAGGGGGGTATAGGAGGCAGGGTTTATGACCTATGCAATCAAGGTGCTTTGGCCTCACTTTTGGGTGTCTTCATGTTGTCCATCTTTATATACACTCCTTTGAGTGATACCCAGCCAGGGTATACATCCACAGTTGCTGTGGTGGACACATTAGTATTCTGAAGAAATGCAAATAATGTAAAGAAATCTTTAATCAAATTCAAATAAAAATTTGCAAGCATGCAAAGTTAAAAATGGCTCAATGTAATTGATGAAAATGGCAGCGTTGACATGCTGTTTCTTATCCATGGAAGCTCAGGTTTCACTGCTCTGGTTTTGAAACAATTAAGAAATAACAAATACGAATTTATTTAAATGATAAATTCCTTAACGTTTCTGTCCACAAATGAACGTTGCCCATTGATTTAGTCTGGTTAATTTCAGTATAAATTTTCAATCTGGATTTTACAGTGCCAGATACAATACACTACGAAGGCTTGTGCAAAGAGCTCAGCTGGTGTCTTTATGTATTTCTTTGTTGCAGCCATTCACATGTTTGCGGTAACAGCTTGTCAATAGCCTCCTATTGTCCAAAGGCATTTTTCCCCACAACAAATAGGCCGTTCTCATTTCCTTTAGCTGCCTTCCATTTTCAGAAACATGCTGGAAACTTATTTTGCAGCGCTGGAATGTTGCCTGTGTTATTACCCCCCAAGGAGCCGCAATTGGAAACATTGTTTTTATAATGGCACATTCTGTGTTTACAAGTGTGTTGTGGCCCTTTGTATGGCCCGACAAGCAAGTAGTTGGACCACCTCCTTAGATGTGATTGTGTGTAAAGCAGTATATCCCATCAGCGTTTGTCTGGGTTTGTCGAAGTGATCACAGTTGCATTGTATTTGGTACAATGCAATTTACATGCTTGTTGTGCAGGTTCACGGCCACATAACCAAAGCGAAAGTGGGCCTAGTGCAGATCCAGTTGGGGCATGCACGACTATAGATAAACAAAAAGCTATGCATAGTTAACTGTGCATCAAAAATAATGTCCAAAGGCACTGAGCAGGCAGAAACCTGGCTACGACTTACTTTCCCCAGAGCATTGTGGTAGATATTGGCTGCGGAAAACTGCTGGACTACCTCTGAAGCATTTCAGTTTTAAAACCATACTATAATGTGCCAATGCAGTGAAAGCTTGTCTGTGTCTGCAAGCTGACTGTTCTGGGTCACTGGTCCATAGACTCTTAAGGAACAGCGTCCAAACATGGGTCTTATTCTAATGTCATCAATCTATGGATTAGTGTCAGTTTACTTTTCTGCGTGTCTGATATCTTTGGAAACAAACCAGCGCGATCCAGGAAAAGTAGCCACTGCACATCTATTACAGTTGCGTCTGTGACAGCAGAACAAGTTGTTCTTTTTACCTGAGGTCGTGAGCAACATTTTTCTGGCAGTTACTAAATCCTCAATCAAGTGATCGTAGTAGATTTGGATCTGGTCTTCGATACGGATTTGTCTTTAAGCGGAAATAAAGCAGTTTTAAATAAAATATAAATATATTTGACGCTTTACAGATTAGCATTGGCCCAACAATCCCTCTCTGTTTCTCCAGGGGCTCTTGAACATTACCGTTGAGCGGGTGGTCAGTTAGTCACTCCGCTGAAAATGAACCAACACGTTTTTTTCCAAAGATAGCTTTTCCCAAACGTCTAAGCTCGGAGAAAGAAAGAGAACCCAACACACGGGACTTCATCTGTCAACCTCAATCTTGAAAGTACTTTATTTGAACTCCAGCTCATTAGGCTCAGGCGTATGGATGCGTAGCTCATCGTTAAAATCCTCCGCTTCACCCCGCGATCTTTTTACAGAGCCCACCCAGAAGCCCTTGTCTGCTGATTGACAGGCACTGGATGCATTGCTGCCATTTCAGGAACAAGAATCGTTCGTCCTGTTTGGGGCACATTTTTTACCATGTGCTTTCCAATACGTGGTTTAGAGATTGCTGGATTTCATCTTGTTAGTATACATGGACTTGATTTGGGTTTTTTGTTTTAATTGCATGTTTGTATAAGCTGGCTTTCTACTATGCCTAACGCACCAGTTCCCAGTCTGTGACAGGGCATTTTAATCAAATGCTGAAAGTGATGTCAAAAAGTACACAATGTTGGTTTCATCAAAACTCAATTTCTTAATCTTATTATTTCAGCGCCTCCCTCAAAAAACCACGATGTTCAAGTTTTGTTTAGTTTGTTTCTTGGTTACATGATTGGTCACTCTGGCTTTTCACAGTTGTCTTTGGAGTATTGTTACTTACCGTGGTGCCTCAATGATTACAACTAACTGACATGGTAATTTCTCATTTTCTTGTTATATATGCAGTGTTGGAAAAAAGTTTAACCATCTTGTTTTTTCTTTCTGTAGGGTCCTCCGGGTCCAAAGGGTGAAAAGGTGAGTCA